TCTCTCTCTCTCTCTCTCTCTCTCAAATAAAAATTAAAAAAAAATTTCTAAAAAAAAAAAGAATACAGAGAAAGAAAAAGGGGGGAAGGGAAGAAAGAAACAGTTCACAAAAAATTAACATAAAGACAGAAATGCAGTAAAGGATGGATAAGATAAATAATAATGAATACTAAAAAAGCAAAATGACGAAAGTACTAATAATTACTTTGTAGTGTGGACTTTTTTACAAATGTGCTCAAAGTTGTTCTATTTAAAATAGCCTGTTATACATGAGCTCCATGGCAACCGCAAACAAAACCCTAAAATAGATATTGTAAAACTTCTTTTATACAAAATTACTACAAAGAGTAAAAAAGTAAAGCATACTACTATGGAAGGGAAGAAAAGACCAAAGGATTTATTAACCTGAAAACAATGAACCAAATATCTGTAGTAAATCCTTATCTTGCACTGTTACCTTCAATTTATTTATTTGTTCATTATTTATTTATTTATTTTTGCATTGCTAGAGATTTACAACAGGGCTTTAAATTGAGCTATATACCAAATCTTTTTTTTACTTTTAAGACAGGACCTTGCTAATTCACTAATTGCCCAGGCTAGATTCAAACTTGGGATCTTCCTGCCTCAACCTCTTAGAATGCTGGAATTGGAGGAATGCATTACATGCATAACTGTTTATTTATATTTAAATAAATTAAACTTTTCAATTAAAAGATAAGTGGCTACATAAATTTAAGCAAACAAGAGCCTCACCACCCATTTCCTGCACCAAAAGAATCATTATCCCCTTAAAGAAACATACTCAGCCTAAAAGTGAAGAGATGAAAGGGATATTCTATGCAAATAGAAATCAAAAGTAAGTAGAGACAGCTAAACTTATACAAGATTAAATAGTCTTGAGCCGGCGAGATAGCTCAGTGGACTAAGCGCCTGCTTAGGCAAATGCAGGGACTGGGGTTTGTTCCCTGGTACTGCATCCCATGCTGGGCCTGCACTTAGGCGCACTGAGCTGACCACCAAGTTCAGGTGGTGGCACATGCCTGAAATCTTAGCGCAGGGGAGGCTGAAAACAGGAGGATCACTACAAGTCCAAGCTGCATAGTGAGACCTTGTACAAAACATATTTTAAAAAAGATTAAATACAAGCACAAAGTCCTGAGTTCAACCCCTAGTACCTCAAAGAAAAAAAAAAGATTCAATACTCTTTAAGTCAAAAATATAAAAAGCAATTTTAAACACATATGCATTTAACATCAGAACATCTAAATATATAAAGAAAATATTAACAAATCTCAAGGGAGAGAGACTGTAATACAATTAATAGGATACTTCAATTTTCCACTTTAACCAATATAAAGACCACCCAAGTAGAAAAATTAACAAGTGAACACCGGAATAGAACAATACTTTAGAACAAATGACATATGTGAGTTATGATTTAACAATACAATGAATACTTAAATTTTAAAAAATTGTGGAGTAAAATATACATTGCCATTAATACCCCTCAATATCCTCTTGAACACACTTATCCCATTGTTCTTGCTACTTTCTGAAGCAGTTTTGGAGTTTCTTTTTGCATCTTTAGTTGTCCTGTTGTGGCTGCTAAGATGTCCTGAATTGATACAAGACATTTAATTATCATGTTTTTGGGGGGTAGTTATCTTTTTTGAGACAGGGTCCACGTAGCCCAAGCTAGCCTCAAACTCATGACCACCCTTCTGCCTCAGCCCTCCAAGTGCTAGATTGTAGGTGTGCATCATCACATTGGGCTTCATGGTCAGTTTAACTTTGAGGAAAATGTAGAAATTACACAATGCCCAACCTGGTGATAAAGTGTATGAGGAAATACCATAATGTTTTTATGAGCCTGCCTTTCCATTGAATAACACTTGGCGGGTGCATTCACCAAATTCTTGATCATACCTTATAAAGACATTCATGAAAGAAGACTTATACAACTGCTTCACAGAGTAGAAAGGATGATAGGATAACTATGTTCAAAGCAAGGAGGACAGTGCTTGCCTGGCAAGTGCAAGGGCCTCAGTTCAATCCCCGGCTCCACAATAAACAAAAAATAAAAAACAAAGCAAGGAGGACAAATGGCAATGTGTCTTCTACTATAATAGTTTTTAGGGGGTCAGGGAGATAGCTCACTAGAATAAGCACTTGCCTGGCAAGCACAAGGGCCTGAGTTCAATCCCCAGTTCCACAAAAAAAATAAATTGCTTTTACTTAAATATTTCTCATATATCTTGATCACCCCTTGTACAAAACATTCCATATAAAAACAACAGAAATACATTCTTAAGGACACACAGTAGATTCTCCAGAATAGCTCATTAGTCCACAAAACTTCAAACAAATTTTTTAAAAATTAAAATCATATCTGGGGTCTGGGGAGATGGCTCAGTGGAATAAGCACTTCCCTGACAAGTGCAAGGGCCTGAGTTCAATCCCTGGTTCTGCCAAAAAAAAAAAAAAAAAATAGGATTAAAAATTAAAATCTTATCTAGGATTCTCCAGAATAGCTCATTAGTCCACAAAACTTCTAACAAATTTTTAAAAAATTAAAATCATATCTAGCATCTTTTATAGTTACAATAAAATGAAACCACAAATCAATAACAGGAAGACCCAAAGAAAACCATCAAATATGTGGCAATTAAAAAGCAGATTCCAAGGGGGCCAGGGAGATGGCTCAGTGGAATAAGTGCTTCCCTGGCAAGCGCAAGAGCCTGAGTTCAATCCCTGGTTCCACAAAAAAAAAAAAAAGCAGATTCCAGGGCCAGGGTACAGCACAGCAGCATATCACCTGCCTGGCAAGTGCAAGGTTGTGAATTCAATTCTCAGTACCGGGGCTGGTGAGATGGCTCAGTGGTCTAAAGCACCTACTTAGAACAAGCTTAGCAAAGGACAGGGACCGCAGTTCAATCCCCCAGCACCACATGCCAGTCAGCCCCGCCCCCTGGTGGGCTGAGCTGGCCACACACACACACACACACACACACACACACATAAATAAAAATTAAAAAAAAAAAATTCTCAGTACCCCCCAAAAAACAAACAGGCAAACAAAAAGCTGGTTCTTGAATAATCAATAGGTCAAAGAAAATTTTAAAAAGGAAATAAAATATCTTGAGACAAACGAAAGTGGAAACATAGCAAAACTTATAAAACGCAGTAAAAAGGGTTCTAAGAGATGCTGATAGCAATAAATGCCTACAATGAAAAAGGAAAAGAGAAGAAAAAAAAAAAAAAAAAAAAACCACTTAAGGGGCCGGGGAGATGGCTCAGTAGGATAAGCACTTGACTGGCAAACGCAAGGATTTGAGTTCAATCCCCGGTTCTGCAAAAAAAAAAAAAAGAAAGAAAGAAAGAAAAAAGAAAAAGGAAAAGAGCTATGGGTGTAGCTCAGCAGTAGAACATCTGCCTCACATACACCAAACATGGGCTTGGTCAGAATCACCTCTCCTCCAAAAATCAAATAAACAAAAGATTAGGGTAAAAATAAAAGAAATAGACATTAGAAAAGTTATAGAAAAGCGAGGCACAGTGGTACACATCTATAAATCCAGATACTAAGATGGCAGAGCCAAGAATATCACTAGTTCAGGCCAGTCTGGGCAACTCAGTGAGAGACCATATCTCAAAAATTTTAATAGGGTAGGGCTCTAGCTCAGTGGTAGCGCATCCCCAGGTTCCACCCTCAGAACTGAAAAACAAAAATAAAAATAAAGAAAAGGTAAATGGGGGAAAGGAAAAGAATACAAGTTGATTATCTTGTAACCTGAAGATCTAAAACTTTTTCAGGACCAATACAACACAAATGGAAAATCCCATACCTGATCTCATGCAATGAGTTGTGGTCAAACAATACATGCACTGCAAGTACTGTGCAAAATTACTTTCAGGTTATAAGTATAAGGTATGTATGAAACATAAATCAACTTAATGTTTAAACTTTGATCCAATCTATAAAATACCTAAGTATGTACATACAAATACTACAAAATTTTTTAGAAGTCCAAAATACTTCTATCCCAAGAATTTCAGATAAAGAACACTGAAATTGTATTTGCCTTCTTGTGTCTGGCTTATTTTACTCAGTATGCCTTCTGGGTTCATTGATGTCATAAATGGCCAAATTTTCTTCTTAGGACTGAATAGGATTATATTTTGTATATGTACCATATTTTATTTATCTATTCATTCAAAGTTGGACGTTATTTGCCATATCTTAACTATGACGAATAACACTGCAATGAACTTGGAGGGCAGATACCTCTTCAGTGTACTACTGATTTCAATTCCTTCGGGTACATGATTAGAAGTGGGATTGTTGGGTCATATGGTAGTCCTATTTTTAGTTTCTTTTTTAAAACTCCATATTGTAAAATACACAAATGGTCAACAGACATTAAAAAAAATATGATCATTAATCATCAGGGAAATGAAAATTAAAACCACAATAAGACATCACACTTGTTACAATGGAGATTTACAAAAAGATTAAAGATGGATTTCAGGATGTGGCCCAGTGGTAAAGAATTTATGTAACATACATGAGGCCCTGGGTTGGATCTTCAGCACTACAAAAGGAAACTGAGAGAGGCAGGAGAGGGAGAGAGAGGGAGGGAAAGGTGAAGAGAAAGGCAAGATGGGGGGCAGAGGTGGGGAGGGGGAAGAAGAGGAGAGAGGAAGAGAGAAAAGGAGAAAGGAAGATAAAACATTAGTCCTGCTGGTTCTGAAGACTCCCAAAATGCCCAATCTAAAAAGTATGACAAACACCAAGTGTCAAACTGTATCAGGGCATATCACAATTACATCATTGAGCACAAGCAATAAAGTTTTAAGGATTACAAATGAGAACAGTTTTAAGTTTTAGCAGTAACTCAAACTAAAAAACAGTGAAGCAATACTTTTATTTTTAATTTTTTTTTTTTTTTTTTTTTGGTGGAACCGGGGATTGAACTCAGACACTTGCGCTTGCCAGGCAAGCACTTATTCTACTGAGCCATCTCCCCGGTCCCGAAGCAATACTTTTAAAGCTTTGAAGAAAAGTCATGCTCAAGCTAAAATTGTACACATATTTTCTATCACATATCAGTATATGATTAAAAAAAATCTGCAGACATGCAAGGTCTCAAAAATTATCTTCCAGAAGTCATTTCTCAGGAACTAGTGGAAAATGTGCTCAGCCAAAGTATGAAAACCAAGAAAGGGAAAACATGAAACAAAACAAAATGGAACTCTATGCAAGGGAAAGGTTGACAAATTTCTAAATTGATGGTGAAGGGAGAACCCAGGGTGATAACATGTACAAAGCAAAGAAGACTCTGACTTCAAATTGGAGTGGCAACAAAGTTAACAGCAGGAGCTCTCCAATAAAATGAAACTGACAGAATTCCTACACTGTCTGAGAAACATAAGGACAGAGTTGAACAATGATGAAAAAGGAAGATTGTATAAGTAATAAGTAAAACTAAAGAGACAAGCAAATAATCACTAAGGAAAACAAAAAGTATGAAAGAAAATAGTGATTAATATTGTCTTGGTTATCAATATTACTGATTCACAATTATGCAAATGATTAATCTAACCAAATCTTGTATCTGTACTGGAAGAATAGAAAAAAAGTCCAAGTTCAGTATATAATTGGGGCTGGAGAGTGGGTGACAGAAGAGCTCAGTATTTATCCACATTTATTTATACAGCACAAGCATATTAATTAGAGATATGAAGGTTAAAAACGAAAACCAGTCAAAAATGGCTGCCCCTGAGAAGGGAGTGGGGGTAGATGCACAATACCACATGGCTAGGATTAAAAAATGGTAGAGACAATAATAAAAGTGTTTTAAATAATTAGGTCTTACCTTAAGAAGATCAGATGACTTCTCACTTGCCAATGAGTTACTACTTGCACAGGAAGCACAATCTGAGATTTCCACAGCACCATCACCATCTTCATATTCATTACATTCAATAGCATCTTCCCTGTCACTGTCGATCTCCCAGTCAATAAATTGTAATTCATCTACAAAAACACAATTTTAATTTAATTTACATCCCTGATTTTTTTAAATTTATATTTTATTCTCAGTAGTTACTATGCTACTAGATAATTTTTCAAAAATATGACAGCAAAAAGTAGCCCAGAATATGGCAGTTCGATCCCCACCTCCACCTGCATTACCAGATCCGCCCTTATGGCAGCCTGAGCCAACAGCCAAAAAAAAAAGTAATGCTCCTTCTCATATCTCTAGTTTCAGGCCAGAAAGATAGTTCAGTGGTCTAAGGAGCTACCCAGCAAATGCAAGGACCCAGGTTCAATCCCTGGTACCATATGCTATATTGGCCACATAAGCCAATGTGTGGTGGTAGCCAGACCCGTGTCATATCTCTAGTTTCTCCCAACTCACTCATATCTCAGTTCTAAATAAACTACCTTTGCTTTTTAATCCTTGCAGCTTCTCCAATACGTTTTTAAAAATAACATTTAAATTATTGCCCTCTATTCTTACACACTTGATTTTTTCATTCATGATAATCAATTTTTCCTTATTACAATATTCCATTCTTTTCTACAAATTAGTATTCCACTGCATAGTTGAACCTTAGTTTATTTTTTTTAAGTAGTCTTCTACTAGAAATTATTTTTCCAGGGTGCCAGGGAGATAGCTCAGGAGAATAAGGGCCTGTCTGGCCAAGTGCAGGGTCCCGAGTTCAATCCCTGATACAGTCAAAAAAAAAAGAAAGAAATTCTTTTTCCAGGGTTGGGGAGATAGCTCAAGGGCATAATTGCCTGCCTGGCAAGCCCAAGGTCCCAAGTTCAATCCCCAGTACCAGAAAAAAATATATATATACATATATATATTTTTCCAAATGTCTTCACTAGATAAATTTTTTAGTTCATCAGTAAGAAAACCACTAAAGTTTTATAAAAATGTAACTCAGTAAAGCTAAATAATCTTCATACAGGGGCTGGAGAGATGGCTCAGTGGTCTAAAGCACCTACTTAGAACAAGCTTAGCAAAAGCATCAGGGACCGCGGTTCAATCCCCCAGCACCACA